GGGAGGTCAGAGGGAGGTCAGATGGGAGGAGTAAGAGTAGAAATGAATGAATCTTGGTGTGCTAGGAAACTCAGAGGGAAATGTGATGACCCTGAAACCCGATTGGATATGCTCAAACAGCGTCTAAACATTAGTGCATATGTTTACCTAGGAACTGCTTGACAAGGAACACAGTGCCAGGCAGAAGAGGCCTCCCTTTGAATGGTTGGTGAGAGTGGTCCGGGAGACTCCCAAAATAACACAGGTTATTGCCAAGACTCTTGGTTATCTCCCAGAATTGGAAGGTAAGACCTTACTCCCGAAGGCAGGAAATGCTTCAGATACAGGACTTGGAGCAATGGAGAGGGAACTGACCTGGAGGCCTTCTCCCTAAAGTTTAGCTATTGTAATGCTGTCAAGGGAGAAAAACAATAAGTGATCCAACCCAGCCCTTAACCCTAATAACCATAATGACTGGCATGGTGAACTACCTTTATTGATGCAGTAGTGGCACTCTTATCTGGGTAACAATAAACAGCTATCCAATTGGACTCAAAGCCCTCTCAGTAGTAGTAAACTCATGGGTGGCACTGTAAACTCAGTCAAATACACATGGCAGGAGAAGATGTAAATCCTAGAGAAAACGCTCTCCAGACAAATGAAATTTCTTACCATATGCTAAATATGGATTATTATATTTACAGACAAGCATACTGAGCACCACTCATCACAGAAACATCTTTTTGCAATAGATGGAGGTTACTGTAGAATTCTACAACTGGTCAGACACAGAGAATATATGTCTGAGAGATGTCAAGTACTAGGTGACACATCTACAGTTGAATCTCTACACCTAAGGCTCATGGAATATAGTGGAACAAGGAGCAGAGAGAAAACTAATGCATCCCTCAACTCTCACCAGTGATGCTTTCTTATACAACAGAGTGCAATGCACACAGAAGGCCACAACTGGTCAAAATTTAACGAGTAAAAGACTGCTGAGTGTGTATCCTTGGATGGGACTCCTGCATTGCACCTCACCCACCCATGGTTCAGGGACCATTGAGGAAGAGGGGGCAGGAAAATTGTAAGATCCAGGGTTGCTTCAGGAATACAGGGAAGCAGAGACTTTCAGGCCGCTGGAAATGTGCACATTTGAACTTGTGTCAGTGGTGGTATTGAACTCAGTACCCAAGCTAACTCAATTTAACACGGTTCCATAGAGGAGAGAAATGATTGGGGGTCCACCCTAGACTTAGAACTATTGGGGACTTAGTGATCCTGGATGAGGAAGAGTATGCCTTACTCATGATTTCTAGATGGGCTGACTAGAGTCTGATGGATGAATTTACACTGAAGGACACCTGGGTACAAATTCTTGACTTGATGGGACTTAACATGTATGGTGTGATACATGAGGTCTGGTGTGGTATTGGGGGGGCATAGATTTGGAAGGGGGCCTAAATTTGTTTAAG